TCTGAACTCTATAACACTGGAAAAGGAGAACGACCTGTCTCAGAGTACCTGCTTCAAATTCAGACCATCGTTAAGAATCTTATTCTCGTTGGCGAACCGATATCTAACAAAGATCACATCAATGTTATTCTCGAAGGTCTGCCAGAAGATTACGAATCTCTTATATCTTCTGTAACTTCTCGAAGCATTCTTGAACCGGTTACCTTAGCTGAACTTGAATCCTTACTCTTAGCAAAAGAGATGTGTCTGAAGAACACTCGTCTGAAAACACTTCATCTGAAAACTCTATTGCTATTGAAAATGCCTCAGCGAATGTTGCTCGATTTAATAACTCAAACAGCGGTACTCCTTATCGTGGACGTGGTCGTGGAAGATTTCATAGAGGCAGGGGTGGTCGTTCTGGAGGACGCAGCTCTATGATCTGTCAAGTATGTGGAAAATCAGGTCATCATGCCTTAATTTGTTATCATCGATATAATCCTGCTTATACCAACCCCAACCTTAATCCTACATTCCCAAATCCTACTTACCCAAATTCCACCCCTGGAGCTCCAACCTACGAATCCTCACTCACAGCCTCATTATAATCCAAATCAGTTCACTCATCAACCTAAACCATACACATTTCAATCTCAGCTTACACAAGTTCATCACAATCAGTCATGGAATCATCAGCTTGCCAGTCCATCTCTTGAAATTTCTTGAAACCTTCAACTGGGGACATCAGCAAACCCCTAACACCTTACCATCTGCAAACTATGCTACTGCTAACTCATAAGTTCTTGGTCCCATTCCACCTAATCAACACTGGTTTCCAGATTCAGGAGCAACACATCATGTCACTGCAGATCCATTGAATTTCCAACACAGTGAGCCTCTTGCTACATCTAACAAGCTCTTTATGGGCAATGGTCAAGGTTTGGATATAAAGTCTATTGGTTTTTCTTCCTTTCCATCACCCTATCACTCCTCACACTCACTCTTACTACATAATATTCTTCACGTTCCATCTATAACTAAAAATCTACTGGGTGTTAGTCAATTTGTCAAGGACAATAATGTCTTCTTTGAATTTTATCCTCATGGCTGCTATGTCAAATCTCAGGTCTCTAAACAGGTTTTGTTGCATGGAGTACTTGGTGAAGATGGCTTATACAAGTTTCCATGCATTCCTCTTGGTCCATGTCAAAATGCTACTATCCATCCACAAGCTTCTGTAGTGTCTAGAAATGAATCTGTGTATCCATTTTCCTTTACGTCAACCTGTAATAAGTCCCAGTCATGTACTCCTTCAGTTTCATGTAACCTATGGCATCTCAGTTTAGGCCATCCTCATCTTGAGGCACTTAAATTTGTACTTAAACACTGTAATGTGTCCTCTATTAATCAAAATGATGTTCCTTTTTGTTCTGCTTGTTGTCTTGGGAAGGCACATACGCTTCCTTCATATCCATCTAACACTGTTTTTCATAAACCCTTTGAATTAATATTCACAGATCTATGGGGTCCATCACCCATCTTATCCTTTGATGGATATTCCTATTATATAGCATTTATTGATGCCTTTACAAGATACACCTGGATATACTTTCTGAAAAAGAAATCTGATGCTCTTACAGCATTCCAAAATTTCTATAACATAGTTAATCAATTTTCCACATCCATAAAATCAGTACAATCTGACTGGGGAGGGGAATTTAGATCCTTTACCCACTTTCTTACCGAAAAAGGTATTACCCACAGAATAATATGCCCTCACACACATCATCAAAATGGTGTGGCTGAAAGAAAACATCGCACAATTGTTGAAAAAGGTCTGTCAATCCTAGCCCATTCTTCCTTACCTTTTAAGTTCTGGGATGTTGCTTTTGCAACATCTGTACATCTCATCAACAAAACTCCATCTAAGTCTATTGCTAATTCAAGTCCATATTTTAAACTCTATGGATCTGTCCCAGATTACTCCTTTCTTAAAGTCTTTGGCTGCTCTTGTTATCCATTTCTCAGACCTTTTAATAAACATAAGATGGATTTTCACTCTGAAGAGTGCATTTTCATAGGATATTCCTCTCAGCATAAAGGCTACAAGTGTCTTTCTAAATCTGGCAAAGTGTACATTTCAAAGGATGTCATATTTCATGAATCCAGATTTCCCTACTCATCATTGTTTCAATCATCTATTCCCACAATCAATACAATTCCTACCCCAAATTATGCCATCTTAAATGTTCTGAATCCACAACCTTCATCTACTTCTGACTTTTCTCAGTCCCAGCTTCATGACTTTCAGTCTACTAATTCCCAGCATCATGACTCTCAACCTACTCATTCCCAAAGTCAAGCATCATCTCCTTCATCTTCTCTTTCTACTCATGATTCTTCGGTAAATTCTAATACATCTACTCCTATTCAGCCCTCACAACCACCTTCTCCTCCATCATCTATTTCTACTTCTTCAACTTCCACTCCTATTCAAGTAACTAACACTCATCCTATGCAAACTAGAGCAAAATCATGAATTATTAAACCTAGACTTAATCCTACCTTGCTATTAGCACATACTGAGCCTCAGTCAGTGAAGCAAGCTCTCTCATCTCCTCAATGGTTCTCTGCAATGAAGGATGAATATAATGCCTTGATAGCAAATGAAATCTGGTCTTTGGTTCCTCTACCACCGGACAAGCATGCCATAGGCTGCAAGTGGGTTTTTAGGGTTAAAGAAAACTTTGATGGTTCCCTTAACAAGTTCAAGGCCAGACTAGTAGCTAAAGGCTTCCATCAAAGGTTTGGATTTGATTTCAAAGAAACCTTTTCACCTGTAGTAAAACCTATCACTATTAGAGCTTTACTTACTTTGGCAGTTTCTCATAAGTGGTCTATTCAGCAATTGGATGTTAATAATGCCTTTCTAAATGGGAAGCTTGATGAAGAGGTATACATGGTTCAACCCCCAGGATTTCAAGCAAAGGACACCTCTTTAGTCTGTAAACTCCACAAGTCATGTATGGCTTAAAGCAGGCTCCTAGAGCCTGGTTTCACAAACTCACTTCTGTTCTTTATGTAGCTGGCTTTCAGCAAAGCAAATGTGACCCATCTCTTCTATTTTTCATGACACAAGGAGTTCAGATCTATATTTTGATCTATGTAGATGATATCCTGGTCATAGGAAATGATTCTAATGCTATTCAAAATCTCATTCACAAACTACATTCATCTCTCTCTAAAGCATTTGGGTGACATTAACTTCTTCCTTGGAATTGAAGTCAGAAAACTGGCAGATGGTAGTCTACATCTCTCTCAAACCAAATATATAAGAGACCTACTGCATCAAGTTGGAATGCTTGATTCAAAAGGAGTTAAAACTCCCATGATCAGCAGCTGCAAGCTCATTAATACAGGAAGTGCTAATCTCCCTAATCCCTCCATTTATAGATCAATTGTTGGAACTCTGCAATATGCAACTCTTACCAGACCAGAAATTAGTTATGCTGTAAATAAGGTCTGCCAATTCATGCCAGCGCCTTTACAAGATCACTGAAAGGCAGTAAAACACATTCTCAGATATCTATCTGGCACTATATCTCTACCTATTTCAGCCTTTTGTGATGCTGATTGGGCATCTGATCCAGTTGATAGGAGATCCACCTCTGGGTCATGCATCTTTCTTGGGGTCAAACATCATTTTTTGGTGGTCCAAAAAACAACTAAGAGTGGCCAGATCTTCAGCAGAAGCTGAATACAGAAGTTTAGCAGACACAACAGCTTCAAGTACCATTCTCTACCCCAAAGGTTTACTGTGACAACCCTCAGCACTGTGCAGCTTGCCCATAACCCTGTATTACACTCTCGGATTCAACACATGGAGATTGATCTTTTCTTTGTAAGGGAGAAAGTTCAGTCCAAGTAGATTGAAGTGTTCCATATTCCAGCTCCTCACCAAATTGCTGATATTCTGATAAAGCCTTTGTCTGCATCTTCTTTTCTTGAATTGAGGACCAAACTTAGTGTGATTGAACTTCCAAACCAATCACCCTAAGTTTGAGGGGGGAATGCTAGGAGTATTGTAAATAATATACGCACGTCCATTGTAAATAGAATTACACTTTCCAGCTGTTACTAGGAGTTGTTAGAGCTGTAAGTAAGTCTGTTAGAGTTTGTTATAGCTACTCTACTATAAATACATGTACTGACTCTTGTGATGAATAAGATTGATTCTTCCTCCTTTCTATCTGTGTTCACATTCTAATAAAGAGTAGTATAAATAGAAGCTATGTAAGGAATAAGAGTTAGACTGGAATTCTGTTAGAATTGTGATGGGAGAGCGGGACCTCTCGAAGAGTCCCAACCTGTTTTTCTCTTTTCTTTTCTTTTCCGCCATTTCTGTGCGTAACCTGTGCTCCTTCAGATTTCTTAATCAATATATTACTAGTTCCCTGCTATGTTGGTTGAGTTCCAATCAGATTAGCAAGAGTAGTGGCGCATGGAGGCACATCAAGTGGTCTACACAGATTGAATTTATGGCAAAGAATCGGGATAGTGGTTCCAACCTCATGGTAGGCTTACAACAAACACATCACATTATCACCACGGGAAGAGATTGGATTAAATGGAATCCATTTTTCTGACACTGTGACACCAATCACTCCGGAAATACATAGCTGCAGCTAGGTATTTTATGTTTGGATGATACAAGACTCTAATCAATGGGGTATATTTATAGGTAGAAATGCACAAAGTGGGCCAAGCCCGTAAAGATTGGGGTTCCAACACTAACCACAAAACAGAAAGTACTTGCTCTTCCAAAACATAAATTATTCCTCAAACTGATTCACTATTGGGATTAAGGCTTAGATGTTGTTGTTGTTGTTAACTGCACAGAGTGGGCCAAGCCCATAAGGATTGGGGTTCCAACACTAACCACAGAACAGAAAGTACTTGCTCTTCCCTAACAAAAATATAATTTTGATGAGGAGATGAATCCAACTACAGTGAACACCAACCTTTTCTATCCAAATCTTCACACTCGTGAGCAGCATCATCAACATTTCCTGCCTGTATTGTGTGAATAAAATAAACCAAAAGCTCAGTTATGGGGCTTTAAGTACACTGTTTTCAGCACCCCTCGCAAGCAACAAAAATATAGCAAGCATATTACCTTACAGAGACACCTGGCTAGGTTAGTTGATATACTCTTGAGATAAGTCTTTAATTCTTTTCCACCAAACATGATTGCTGTGTAGCATGCTAACCTATATGATGGAATAGCATTTTGATAATCCTGTCTTGCCTCACATACTAGCCCTCTCAAGTTGTGAGATTCAGGATAAGTAGGGAGATGGTGCAAGGCTTGCTGGGTAGCTCTATATACCTGGAAAAAAACTTTCATTTATTACTTCGAATATTTCCATTCTAGTTAGCAGTTTATCCAATGCCTGATGGATAGATAATGGCTGCACCCTAATTATATTTAGTTCTGTGTTAGGCTCGTACCTCTGAGGACTTGAGGTTACCAGAATGTAGAGCAAGTTTCGCCAAACCAATTTGAAACTCAGCAAGCTGCTTGGAAACAAGTAAGGAAATATATTTTAAAAGAAAAGTACTAATAGGGAATGTCCATTACCTGGAAATGGAAATGCAAAGCCATCATATGTTGTAAGTTAGGGATTTAAATTGGTAAAAGGAACTATTTTCTATTAGAATGTCAAGATATTTCCTCTTGACCAAATTATGCAACGATAGCACTAGACAGAGAGGGAGAGAGAAGTTATTACAGGAAAAATCTGAACAGCTCGAAGACAGCACTCATATGCTTCCTCTTGTTTCAGGTTCCTGAAACAAAAGCACATGCAAATGAAACTTTATTCCAAATATGCCACATTATCATTGATTATTTCACTTACAATAGCAGTCACTATTAAGTTACTATTACCTCACACTGGCATCAGCTGACATGCCAGCCCATGGCAGTGAAAGAGAAGGATCAATACTTCTTGCAGAATCAAATGCATGCTGCGCTAATTGTCGTTCACCCACTTTCCTGTATAGCTGTGATGAATATCAAAGAACAAAGTAATTGATCAATTTATCAGCATTGAAGTATCAACTCACACATTCAAAGACGTCCATTTGTAACCAAGCTTGTAAACCATTTTCAAGCTTGCTTCATCTAATATCTGCTATGTTTGTTTTCTTTGTAAGGATTGCTCGACTTGAGCACACTTGTTCATAAACAGTAAACACACTTGTTTACCAAACTTGTTCACAGACCAGCTTGATAAACAAGCTCAATATATATAGTGTGCGCTTCTAATGAGAACCACGCTTGACGTGAGAACCAAGAAAGCACCATGTTTAACTCAATGTAATACGCTATAACGTTCGTACGTTAATTTTTTTAAAACATAACAACATCAAATAAATACGGTGGCAAATTCGCTCTAAAAATTAATCCCAATAGGGATTTGTCTAGAGTACTCTAGGAGGGGCAAAAGAGTAAATGGTTAATTAAAAGGTGGGACATTGGGTCTGGATGAGCTAGATGGAGAGAATAAAAGGCTTGCTCATGAGAGAGGAGGGGATATTCTAGAATTGGTTAGTTTGTTGGGAGAGTGGAGTCCTCTCGAATGGCTTCCAAATTGTAATCTCTTTTTCTGCAAGTTATCGCCTATGTTCATTGTTTGTTCTGAGATTCTACAAACATTGTATTGAGATTTTGATAAGAACCGATTCTCACAGTAAAAATAATATGTATAAGCAGTAGAAATTCTCAGGATTCATTAAGTTGATTCAGGAAATCAGCGTACAAGGAAGTTGTTGTACAGCATAATAAGAAAGAAAAGAACATATTTGACTCTTCGAGAGACCTTGCTCTTCCAGGTCCTATTTCCAAGCCCAAATTCAGCCTAACCTCTGTCCTCTTATTCCTCCATTCCCTTCAATTTATACTGCCCGTACAATTATTGCTATCAATCACCATCATCATTACCCCAGTGCCGCAAATGCTCCCACCTACGGTATGGTAAGGGGGTCGGATGTACACGGCCTTACCCCTGTACTAAAGCACAAAGAGACTGTTTCTGGATGACCCATGGTGAAAATCGTGTCGAAAATTGCATGAACCGACTGCTACTTCATAACAAAAAGCTCGGACAGTTTAGTTCCATCATATTCCTAAGCCAAAAAATAGTGAATCTTTGGCTTCATGGCAAATGATGGACAATTATTATCAATATTTTATTATTATAGCCCGGTTACTATCATATCTCCCCCTTAGACAACCACCTTGTCCTTAAGGTGAGTGATAGGAACAAACCTTATCATCATCTTCATCCTTGTGCATCGCCCTTCCCAGTATAACACTGATTTTTGGACCTTTAGCGTTGGTACTTGAACCTTCATCCTCATGTTCTTCACAGCATGAAGGAGCAGAAGCAAGGGCATGATGGCATGATACCTTTGCTTTGGTTCCAACATCTTTTCTTTGCTTTGCTTTGGCATGATGACTTAACCTCACTTTTGTCAAAACCTGAGAAAGCACTAACCCAGGTTTTAAGTGTGTTTTTAACATGAATCATTGGGGAACCACTGAACCAGGAATGACTTAGAACAGGATCAACAGCCTCTGATCTGAAGTCCTTGTCATAATAACACCTCAAGATATTCCCAGGGATACTATCATAGTGGAAGCTCTTATGCATGCCACAGGAAAAGCTCAAACCGTACTTTTTGTATACTTCAGCTAGCCTCTCCAATGTACATCTTTTCACCGGTAAAGATGTGTCTCTATGTCTCTCACCAACGAGCTTGATTCTGTCAGAATCCTGCTGATAAGGATGAGCCTCTCCAACAAATGCAGCAGCTTGCCTTTGTTGACGCTCACGTAAGTGACCTCTAATTAACAGGCAAACAATGAGTAAGTATTGGGGTCTTTCCCTCTTCCATTAGCGCATCCTCCACCTTGAACTCCATATTTTCCTTCTCTCTAGAAGCAGTTATTGCATCGATATACACCTAATTTTCAAACTTGGACAATGACTGTCTGATTAAGTGTACCAATTTATCTCTGTAAGTGAGGTTTCTGGCAAGCTCTGCTCCTACATCAAGGAATAATTTGAGTGCCTTCCAGATATCCGTAGTAATAAAATACCATAAATGGGGTTGAGGCAAGGGACAGTTGGCTTATAGGAGAGAACTATCTCTTCAGGTGTTCCACAAGGAAATGGTCTCTCTGGTCATGTTCAGGCCTGACAAGTCTGGTATCAAGTGATGGATCCCAGGCAGGAGTTTCTACTGTGTAATCCTTGTTGTGGTCAGCAATTCTATCTCTGCAATTGTATACTGTGTGATAAAGTGTCTCCCAGCAGCTTCAACTTGACCAACTGCTTGACCATATCTTCTAGTAGAGTAGGATTTCAACCATGTCTTCATCTCAAAATTGTGGCTCCTGAATACCATTTCAGGCATCAGCTCATATGCAACTGGATTTTGTTCTAATCCTTCCATGCACGTGCCAACCCCAATCATTGTTGAATTTCCACTAATAAGAGCATTAATTTGCAGGATATGCTCCATCGCAAGCAGCTTTCTGAATTGAGTAATTGCTTCCGTCACTTGAGAAGCAGGGTTTTGAGTAAAGCCATACTCACCAGCAGCAGAATTTGTGTTCATGCCATGAACACCAGCATTCTCCTCTACCTGAATCTGCTCAACAGGGAGTACTGAGCTAGAAAAGGCTTCAACTCCCTTTGACACTTCACTCATTGACCTAAGATTGAGAGTAACTTCAAACAACCTCATATTTAGCCCAAACTCAACATTGTGGAGAAATTTTGATTAAATCCTTGTGAGGCATTTGAATTATTACCATTTTCAAAAGTAACATGATAAACTTTACCCAAAACTGAGTTAAGGATTCCATAGAACTTCGAGAAGCTTCAGAAACTGTGCATCCAAGCGAAGCATGAACTGCAGCAACCATAGTCCTAATAGGAAGTACCAGAACCTCCACAACCCTCGTGGTAGAATTTTGAATACCTTCAGTGCCACATTGATTGGAACTTTCACCATTAGGAACTATAGGATCAACTTGCCCCTGATTCTGCAAAAGCATTGCAAGTGGGGACGGTTGAGTTGTATCATTTTCTGAATGTGGTTCCATGATCGACGTTTCGGCCGGCATCAACTCAGTGTTCTTTGTCGGCGGTGGAGTCCCCAGCGATCCATTCCCTGATTCTACGAAGTCTATAGCTCTGGAAACGGATGATTCCTGTAAGAACGATGAAGTTGGCGCACTGTGAGACGAGGCTTGCGATGTCATCTGTGAATCGGTAGAAGCCTCTCATGATGACAATCGGTGAGGAACGAGTAGCGACGGTGAACTGGAACTGTGAGACACGGCTAGCGACGACGAAGAACCCTTGTTTTCAGAATTCCGAGACCGTCCCACGGTCCTCAATTGACATCTAGGTCGCCGCCGATTCTGGCCTTTCAGCCGGTTATACAGGTCGTCCAACCTCATTTGGGCCACCTCAATCATCTCGACCATCCTCGGATCGTTTCTCAGCCATCTTCCTTTCCAATTTCTCCAATCGCTGCTCCATCGGTGCTCTGGCGATGATACAATTCCAGCGATTGTTGATACTCTGGTGATGATCCTCTAATGTCATTTAAGACTCTCATCCTCCAAGAGCGAGTGATAAGAACAATACGTATAATCAGTAGAAATTCTCAGGATTCATTAAGCTCATTCAGGAAATCAGCGTACAAGGAAGCTGTTGTCCAGCGTAATAAGAAAGAGAACATATTTGAGACTCTTTGAGAGGCCTCACTCTCCCAGATCCTATTTCCAAGCCCAAGTTCTGCCCAACTTCTTATTCCTCCCTTACCTTCTATTTGTACTACCCGTACAATTATTATTATTATCAACATTTTTTTATTATTATTAGCCCGATTCCTATCAGATTTCTAGTAATATATCTCCCATATTGTGTTGGAGTGGTTTGTTCTTATTTAAACTTAATAGTGTTTATGTAGTCAATTAATCGAAGAAGGAAAAGTGAGGGATAGGACAATAAGATTGAAGAAATGAGGACCTGAAAATACAACCATGTGGTTGCTTCTAAGAATTAATGATCAGCTTATCCAATCAGATGAACAATATGATGTTCTTTTTCACCGCTTAAGATGATTAGGTGGACACTCTGAGCACGAGATTTAATGACTAATGGGCAAGATGCAACTCCCTCCTCCAAGGATAACAATAAGATGTTCTTTCCACCCTTTCAGATGATTAGGTGGGGATTGATAACAAGAGAGTAAATGACCAATAACAAGATGCAATTTTCACCATCAAGGATTGCTACTACTGTGAATAAGTGATTCAGTCTCTCCTACTAATGTAACTACTGTGATCAAAATACTAGACATCAAACTGGTGAAAAAAAGACCATGTGATATATAAGACTTTCATTATTATTAGTGTATTTTCAAAAGGGTTGTACAAGGCGTAAGGATAACTACACTCCAACCCTTCCTAATACTTGGTAACCAAGCGCCAACTAAGTTCTAAAGTGAAACAAGCTATCCCACTTTCTCCCAGATTATAACATTTTCATGGTGTAATAAATCATCACATTCTCAAAAAATGACAGTGTATTACTTTCCCAAGGTATGCCCATGCGACAGCCACAGAGACATCCAACTGCAAGCCTCTTATAAAAGCATGTTGTTTCAACACTGTGCAATGTGATAGACATCCCAAAGCCAACCAAAACTCATTATTGCAACCCTCAAGCAATAACCCCCCAAGGCACATCTTTTCAGACAGGGACCTGGCAAGTAAGCAAGAAATAAATGAGTGAAATATGTACAAACTACGCACAGCACACCAAGAGATGACACAAAATGTATACCATGTATTTAAATCATTTGTTTGACTCTCCTTCAAAGAAAAACAGAGCTCCGATGCAATAGCAACATCCGTATAATAGTTCGCTAGCCAAGGAGTAAAATGTAAAGCCCTTTGATAAGAACAACTGGCTGACACTGCAGCTATGTAGCAGGCTCTCTTCCAGGAAAAGACTGAGTTAGTAAATGCTTCCTCATCTGATTGTGAGCCACATCCTTTATCGATCCAAGGGAAACATTTTGCATACATGAGCTAAGGAGGAAAACCAACCTCATTTAGAGCAAGCAATGTCAGAAAAGTCGATCTTTATAGAATACAATGTTGAATGTATTACGTATGATGTCAAAGTATTCCATGCATTCCACACTAGACATCGCTATGCTCCATTTGAGTTACCTAAATAGTTACTTCAGATGCCAAAGTAATCTTAAATTTCCACCCATGATGTGTGTTCTAATAAATAAGGCTATCATTGCCTACCTCTCACCCATGTTTCCTGAAGTCCCTTTTTGGCTATTTATTTTGTTCAGAAAAGAATTCACGTGTTTTTGCCTACCTACACTAGCAACAATAATTGACAGAAAAATTGGGAGCAAATTCAGGCCAATGCACATTTAATCTTAAACAGGAGTTACATGCTTGCATATCCTCTTGAAAGAAAAGTCTGTGAGCATGGATAATAACCGGATCACACCGGCTGGTACACTGGTCCAGATAGCCTACAGAACTGCTCTGGGATTGAGAACCTGTACAAAGCGGGTTGAGCCGGTCCAAAATATGATCCCGCCAGTCGAACTAGCAATTTTACATTTGAAGCTCAAACAACTTCATCAGATTCTCCAGGTCCAGATGATATTTATTGCTAGTTTTAGTTTATTTTATAGAAATTGCCCTAAATAGGAGCAAAAACGTTTTGAAATTCCAATATAGGAGTATCAAGTTTTTTATTCCCTGAATAGGAGTAATCTGCCAAATTTTGGAAGAAAATGCCATGTTTAAAGCTTAGTAATGCCAAACTTGGCAGAAATTTACTCCTATTCAGGGAATAAAAAACATGATAGTCCTATTTTGGAATTTCAAAACTTTTTTACTCCTATTTAGAGAATTCTCTCTTTATTTTACTATGTAATACCTATAGTAAATCCATGGTGATTGATGTTCATTGTTATAAAAATATAGAAGATCAGTGTTTATGATTGGCTCTTCCATTTACTTAGGGTAAGGTCTAATGGTCGGTTTTGGAAACGTTTAGATCGGCTTTTATGAAATGAAAGCTTTAAGGAGGCATTTGAGCATATTGTAACACATCATTTGAGCAAAACAACTTCAGATCATTGTCCCATTCTTCTTACATGTGGATCTTTCACCATGCCTTCTCTAATTATGTTTCTAGTCGATGGATTTCATATCCTACTGTCAGAGGAATGCACAGTTTGATGGGGAAACTGAAAGCTGATCGTAAAAAATGGAATGTGGAGGTTTTTTATAACATTAACAAAGGGGTTCAGGAAGCAGATAATGAGGCCTCACTGGTAGAAGCTGCATTTGAAGCCTTTCCTTCGGAGAACACAAGGGCGAACTGTTTCAGGTAGCAGGCTAGACTGTCACTTAAAACTAAGGGGGGGGGGGGCACAATTTTGGAGATCTTGGGCTTGGACAAGATCTTGCACAAGTGTTCTTAACTGTGAAATATGATTATATTCAATATTCTTCATGTCCTAAAAAGCTATACAAGTAGCTATATTTATAGCTATATTAGAGTATTAGGGTTCCTATACAAAATGGGCTAAGCCCAATACAACTAGGGTTTCCAAATTCCCCCTCAAATTGGAGCATATAAATCATATGTACCAAGCATGTTACAAATATATTCTACTCTAGGACCTCTAAGAGACTTAGTCAAAATATCTGCAAGTTGATCCGTTGTGTGGACATAATTTGTGAAAATATGTCCAGCTGCAATCTTTTCTCGGATAAAGTGACAATCAACTTCAATATGTTTAGTTGTCTCATGATATACCGGATTTGATGCAATATGCATTGCGGCTTGAATGTCACACAATAGTTGAACCGGTTTTGCACTTCCATACTTTAATTCTTGGAGGAGATGCTTTAGCAATTCAGCCATAAGATTTCACATGTAGCAAGGGCCATTGCACGGTATTCTGCTTCAGCGCTAGATCTGGCAGCTACATCTTGTTTCTTACTCTTCCAAGAAATTAAATTTCCACCGATTAAAATGCAATATCCCGAAGTAGAACGTATATCCATCGGAGATCCAGCCCAATGCCCCCAATCTGCATCACAATATCCCACAATATCATGGTGACCTTGGTCTTCGAATAGTAACCCTTGCCCCGGTGTTTTCTTGATATATCTCAAGACTCGGATAGCTGCATCCAAGTGTTCGTTACATGGCTTATCAAGAAATTGACTAAGAACACTTGATGCAAATGAAGTGTCTGGTTTCGTGATGGTTAGGTAATTTAGTTTGCCAATGATCCTTCTGTATTTTTCTCTGTTGGATAGAGGATCTCCTTGTTCTGACAAGAGTTTAATGTTCGGATCCATTGGTGTCACCAATGATCTACACTTTAGCATACTTGTTTCCTCAAGAATGTCCAACGCATATTTTCTTTGTGAGAGAGCAATTCCATTTTGAGACGGTGCGACCTCAATGCCAAGGAAGTAACTCAGCTTTCCCAAGTCTTTTGTTTGGAACTTGCTAAAAAGATATTGTTTGAGGAGCACAATTCCTTGTTCATCACTACCTGTAATGACAATGTCATCAACATATACAATAAGATAAATACATTTATTGCCTGAAGAATGTATATAGAATATGGAATGATCAACATCACTTCGAATCATGCCAAATCCACGAACAACAACACTAAATGTCCCAAACCATGCACATGGAGATTATTTCAAACCATATAACGAACGTCGTAATGTGCACACCAAACCTGACTCTCTCTAAGCAACAAAGTCAGGTGGTTGCTCCATATAAACCTCCTCGTGCAGATCACCATGAAGAAATGCATTTTTAATATCCAACTGGAACAGAGGTCAGTGACTCATTGCTGCCATGGATAAAACCAAACGAACAGATGCAATCTTTGCTACAGGAGAAAAGGTGTCAATATAATCTAACCCATAGATCTGAGTGTACCCTTTTGCCACAAGGCATGTTTTAAAGCAATCAATTTTACCATCAGGGCCAACTTTTACAGTATATATCCACCGACATCCAACAATAGATTTTCTAGTGAGAGGGGTAACTAAGTCTCACATCCCACTAGAATGAAGAGCCTCCATCTCAGCCAACATGGCTTTACGCCACTCCGGATGTGCAAGTGCCGATGTGTGATTTGGTAATGTAGGTATGAGACAAGTGTGAAATGAAAGCAAAGTAAGGGGTAGAGAGGCGGTGATAATTCAAAATGTTAAATATAGGATGTGGATTCAATGTCGAACGCGTACCTTTTCGGAGGGCAATGGGCAAATCATCCTGAGTAGGTGGTGGTGGTGGTGCAGGATCCACAATGGGCTCAATGAGAGGAGGTCGAGGAGGTCGATGGTATACCTGTAATGGACGGTCTGACATAAGAGGGCAGTTCGGGTGCTCATCAAATGGGAGGGAAATAGGAGTATCTGAATGGGGGATGGGTCGGAGATATGATACGAACATGATGGTGTATCAACTGAAGGTAATGGGTAATAGAAGTAAGACTCAATGAAAGTGACATTGGCCAAAACAAAATGTTTCCCAAGTAAAGGAGAATAACAACGATAACCCTTTAAAGTCGTGAATATCCAAGAAAGATACATTTTATTGACCTAGCCAACATTTTTGGAAGGCCAAGTGTCGTATCATGGATAAAACACAAACCCAAACACATGAGGCGGTAATGGAAATAACTCACGACTAGGAAACAAGACAGAATATGGAATTTCATTATTAAGTACAGAGGAAGACATTCTATTTATTAAATGACACGCATTAAGCACAACATCGACCAATATTGAGGGGGTGTATGTGAGTGTAATAATAGGGTGCGAGCGGTATCAACTAAATGACAGTATTTGCGTTCAGCAACCCCATTTTGTTGAGGCGTGTGAACATAAGAAGATTGATGAAGCATACCCCGTGATGTCAAAGTGATTAAAGGGTGTCGCAAAAAATTCTTTAGCATTGTCACTGCGTAAAATTTTGATAGAATGACCAAACTAAGTGTGAATTTCGGCACAAAAAATTGAAAAATATGAAATAATTCAAAACGCTCTTTCATTAAAAACAACCATGTGTGACGAGAAAAATCATCCACAAAATAACAAAATAACGAAATCCTAAAGTAGAAGTGACTCGATAAGGACCCATACATCTGTATGAACTAAATCAAAAGGGGACCCGCCTTGGAAAGGATTTACGAGGTTGCTTTCCAAGGTGACATGACTCACGCTCTAAAGAGGAAAGTTGAAAGACTTGTGAACCTGGAACTAGACGTCGAAACTTTGAGAAGTTAGGATGACCCAAACGATTATGTAAGGTATGGCAGGACCAACCGACACACAAGCAATTGGATCAGGAGGATGAAGATGATACAAGCTTTGAGATTCATGTTTGACGCCAATCGTCTTCCCCATACAACGGTCCTGCACACTCACATAATCAACAAAAAGAGTTATAGAAAAATCAAGAGCACTTGTAATGTTGCTAACAGAGACAAGGTTAAAAAGGCTATTAGGAACATATAAGACTGAGTCTAATGGTAAGGAGGAAAGTGGAAGTGCTTGCCTAATACCCGTGGCCGAAGTTTGAACGCCATTAGCGAAAGTAATTAAAGGAAGGTGTTGGTGCTTGGTAATACGGGATAAAAGATGGGGATTACTAGAAATATGATCTGAAATAAGGCGGTAGACATACCAAGTGTAGATTCAAGCATATTATTTGACTTAAATTTCTGATACACGGCATATTCGGCTGGAGTTAGCACAACCGAAGATGGCGGGATCTGAGTAACATTGGCTGAGCTAGGAGGTCTCCCATGTAACTTCCAAAACTTGTCTTTTCTTATGACAGAAGTCACACTTAGGATGGTTTCGCCGCGGAAATCCTTTGTGATTTCCTCCATCAGGGCCAGAACCTTGGGATGCAAGAATTATAGAGTCATTAGAGCTTGATTCAGGAGATATCGGGGCTGCGCGAAGAATTCAAGCAAAAGCCTCTGTCATAGTAAGAATAGTCGAACAAGAGAGAATCTGCTCTCGTATTGATAACATTTCTGGACGAAGACCTGCCAAGGCTAAGACCATAACAAGTTCTTGTCGTTGTTTCTCTTTATCTTCTGTGATTGGTTGAATGGTATTATACTCAAATAGTAAAGCCTCAGCCCGTCCCAGAAAATCTTGAAAATCTGAATGTTGTTATTTGAGTGTGGCAATTTTGGAGCCGAAAGAAAACAGACTTTGAATATCGTTAGTGTAATTAGACTTGGCTTCTTCCCAAATATGTTTACACATTCGATAGGATTGGTATGTGAGATGAAGTTTGGAATCCATCGACTGCCACAAAACGTTGCACAACAGAGCATCCATATTCTCCAATTCAGTCTTCTTTTCTTTGACATAATTAGCATACGTAATCAAGTGATCAATTTTCCCTTGTCCTTTGAACCACATCTCCATGGAAATGGCCCATGATTGGTAATTAGCACTTCCAATTAAACGATCTGTAGTGATAATTCGAACCGAAGCAAACGAAGAAAAACCAAAAGACATTTTTTTGTTTCTCTTTTTTTTGCCTTTTTTGCAAAAAATTAAATATTTAAAGTAGTGCAACAGTAATTAAACTGAAACAAGGCCGAGGAATTCCCTAGGCAGAAGCGGTAACAACTGTAAGAGTTCCCCGGGCAGGCAGGCAGCAAGGTGAAGAACCGTAGCTACACAGGGATGAAGAAAACGGACCTCTATCTTTTTGGGAGGTGGGTCGTGCGGACGACAGCAGGACGGCGGCGGTCGGCGGACGACACCAGGACGGCGGCGGTCGGCGGACGACACCAGGACGGCGGCGGTCGGCGGACGACACCAGGACGGCGGCGGTCGGCGGACGACAGCAGGACGGCGGCGATCGGCAGCAATCGGTGGCGGTGCGTGAGCCGGTTGACGGTGGCGATGTCTATGTCATTCTGGTTTCCGGAAACTCAGAAACCTCTGGTGGTTGGAGGTGTCAACGCCAGATAAGCAGAAAGAGAGAGATCTGCAAAATTGTAAAACTGCAGATGCGGACTTCAGCGACGTGTGGCGGCGCGTGGGTGATGCGGCGTGGGTGATCCCTCCAGCGGTAAGTCGCGATGTAGCCTTGAGCACGGCAGTAGGCTGATATCACTACCGAAAGCACTCAATTGAAAGTCGCAATACTGTTCACGCCGGAATTTCTGGTCGGAGATTTACGCCAACAGAAAAATCATAACACTACATCAATAATTGCCATATTGGCTCTGATACCATGTGAAGTATGATTATTGATTATATTCAATATTCTTCATGTCCTAAAAAGCTATACAAGTAGTTGAACTGAATTTATAGATGTATTAGAGTATTAGGGTTCCTATACAAAATGGACTAAGCCCAATACAACTAGGGTTTCCACATGCATACTAGCTTATGTTTATCTTTCATAAGATATAATGCTCCACTTAACTTTTCTAGGCATTACAATGCTCCACTTAACTTTCCTAGACGAACACTTCACCTCTCCATACAATCCTTGTTTATTCACATGTACATGTATACATGTTTATATACACTATAATGCACAAAAATATTCTCTCTTGATGAGTGACTACATATAGGAAAAGGAGAAATCAAAATGAAAGGTAATGCAATCAGTTAATCATTGAACAACTAAAAATATACCTGCATATCACCGTGAAGTTTCCATATGCATGAAAAGTTACCAGCTAACGATGCACATGTTATGGCGACCTTAGATGCCTCCTAAACTAGATTAAAGTTCAGACTTTAGAAAATGATGATCTCTTGAATAACAGAAATGTATAAGAGGCACAGCTGGAGTCCTTGAGAGGCAAGATTGTTAAGTATAACTAACCTCTAATAATGAAGCTCCCCATCTAAATGCACCTGAGCTTAGGCATTCCTTTGCCAAACAAAAAAGTGCAGATGCAAGGCCATAATGAGCAGATACATTGAGAGGTGATGTCAATATAGCTTGGCGGAACTGCTCAACTCCCTTCACACAGAAACATGATGAGAAAAATAAAAACAAGAAAAACAGAGCACGAAAAACAAAATGAGAAGTTGAACAACTGGTTTACATGCAATCGAAGTTTAAAAAATAGCTTACAATGTTACAACACAACAAAATGAATTGGTACAGGTGCAAGGATTTCCTCAGAAGTTCAGTTTAAACATGTTTTACATTTTAATCTAAAGTCTACTGTGAAAACCCTAGTAGTATTGGGCTTAGCCCATTTGTATATCTTGTATAGGAAACCCTAGTACTCTAAATATAGCTATAAATATAGTTTCTTGTATAGCACTTTATAATTAAGTATATGAAATACAACAATACTTGTTCACATGGTATCAGAGCCAATACCGCAAATATAATTAGTTACTGTTATTATCTGTCAGTCGGCCACAAATTCCGGGCAGAATCTCTCCGGCCATAAATTCCGGCGTGAATAGTGGTCGTGGATGGTGTGCTTTCGGTAGTGATATAAACCTACCGTCCTCTTCACCTCAACATCCAGACTTACCGCCGAGAAAATCACCGCTGCCGCCTCATCCACGCGCCGCCACGCGTCACTGCAGTTGGACCCGCAATTGAGCGTTTTTCGTAGATCTATGTCTTTTTATTCATCTGCTGTCTACACCACCAACCACCCGAGAATCCTGAGATTCCGACGACCAGGATGGTATAGGTTAGCACCACCGCCGACTCACCACGCGCCGCCACACACGCCGCTGTCTACACGTGCCGCCGCCGCCCAGATCCGGTGTCATCCACACACCACCGCTCGTCCGTACGCACGGCTTCCGCCGCTGCCTTGTTTCGCCTCTCCCGGACTGAGGTTGGTTTTCATACTCCCTGATTTGCTTCTACTGTTCATCTTCCCAGCAGTCTCTTGGTCAACACACAGCTGATGCCTGGAAGTTACTGCTCCTTCAGCAGGTTTTGTTTTTGATTTCTCGTTTGTTTTGCTAATATTAGTTAGCTTTTCACTCTTCTATAAAAAAATAAAAATAAAAAAAATAAAAAAAATAAAAAAAAAGAGGAAGAAGAAGAAGAAAAAAATCAGTATTTCAAAAAAAAATGTCTTTTATGAGTTCTGACAGAGGAAACAACACCGGATACTCAAGATAGAATCGTCCCAAATGTGATTTTTGTCATAAAATTGGTCATACTAAAGACAGGTGTTGGAAATTACATGGGAGACCTCCTCCCTCAGCCCATGTTGCTCAGCTACCACCATCTCCCATTGTTCTACTACCAGAAGAATATGCAGCATATCAGCAATTTAAGTTGGCTAATATGCTTTTATCCACACCCGGGATGTCTACTGCTTGTGTTTCAAACACAACATGCTCATGGATCATTGACTCAGGTGCCTCAGACCATATTTCTGGTGATCCCCATCTTTTATCCAATATTACCAAGGACCGACATCTTCCTTTGATTACTTTTGCTAATGGCCTTCAAACTTCGGCTTCGGGTATTGGGCAAGCACTTCCATTTTCATCTTTACCATTAGACTCAGTCTTATATGTCCCAAACACCCCTTTTAACCTTGTCTCTGTCAGCAAAATTACACGTGCTCTTAATTGTTCTGTAACATTTTCTGCTGATTCTGTAATTGTGCAGGACCGTTGTACGGGGAAAACAATTGGCGTCAGACATGAATCTCAAGGTCTGTATCATCTCCGTCCTCTTGATCCAATCGTTTGTGTTTCAGTTGAACCCGCTATTACCTTACATAACCGTCTGGGTCATCCTAGTCTCTCAAAGTTTCAACGTATGGTTCCAGGTTTCTCAAATCTTTCATCTTTAGATTGTGAGTCATGTCACCTTGGAAAACAACCTCGTAAATCCTTTCCAAGGCGAGTCAATAAACGGGCTACATCACCGTTTGATTTAGTTCATACAGATGTATGGGGTCCGTATCGAGTCAATTCTACTTTAGGTTTCCGTTATTTTGTTATTTTTGTGGATGATTTTTCCCGTCACACATGGTTGTTCTTAATGAAAGAGCGTTTTGAATTGTTTCACATTTTTCAAACTTTTTGTGCTGAAATTCAAACTCAGTTTGGTCATTCTATTAAAATTTTGCGCAGTGACAATGCTAAAGAATTTTTTGGCGCATCCTTTAATCAATTCATGACATCACGGGGTATGCTTCACCAATCGTCTTGTGTTCACACGCCTCAACAAAATGGGGTTGCTGAGCGCAAGAACCGACACTTGGTTGATACTGCTTGTACCCTATTATTACACTCCCATACACTGCCTCAGTATTGGGCAGATGCTGTGCTCGCTGTGCTCACTGCGTGTCATTTAATTAATAGAATGCCTTCCTCAGTTCTTAATAATGAAATTCCCTATTCTATTTTGTTTCATGGTCGTGATTTATTTCCATTACCACCTCATGTGTTTGGGTGTGTGTGTTTTGTCCATGACACGACACCTGGATTAGCTAAAATGTCGGCTAGGTCAATAAAATGTATCTTTCTTGGATATTCGCGACTCCAGAAGGGGTATCGTTGTTATTCTCCATTACTTAAGAAACATTTTATTTCAGCCGATGTCACTTTCATTGAATCGTCCTCTTATTATCCATTATCTTCGATTGATACCCCATCATGCTTGGACTTCATCTCATATCTCCGACCCATCCCTCTGAAGACTCCCATTAACTCCCCATCTGATGAGCACCCAAATTGCTCTAATATGGCAAACCGTCCATTACAAGTATACCATCGACGTCCTCGACCTCCTCCCATTGTGCCTACTGTGGCCACGCCAGTTGAATCCCCTACGACGGATCCTCCATCATCACCATCAGATACCTCAGCACCCGAAAATACTCAGGATGATTTGCCCATTGCTCTCCGAAAAGGTACACGTTCTACTGTGAATCCACATCCCATATATAACTTTTTGAGTTATCACCGCCTCTCTACCTCGTACTATGCTTTTATTTCCCATCTATCTCATATATGCATCCCTAAAACCACACATGAGGCACTAGCACACCTGGAGTGGCGTAAAGCCATGTTGGCTGAGATGGATGCTCTTCATTCTAGTGGGACGTGGGATTTAGTCCCCCTTCCCGCGGGCAAATCACTGGTTGGATGTCGGTGGATTTACACAGTTAAATTTGGGCTTGATGGGGAGATTGATCGTTTTAAAGCACGCCTTGTGGCGAAAGGGTATACTCAGATATATGGTTTGGATTACACTGACACTTTTTCTCCTGTAGCGAAGATTGCATCAGTTCGTTTGGTTTTATCCATGGCAGCAATGAGCCGCTGGCCATTGTTCCAATTGGATATTAAAAACGCATTCCTTCACGGCGATCTACATGAGGAAGTTTATATGGAGCAACCACCTGGATTTGTTGCTCAGGGGGAGTCTGGTATGGTGTGCAGATTACGTCGTTCATTATATGGCTTGAAGCAATCTCCACGTGCATGGTTTGGGAGGTTTAGTGTTGTTGTCTGCAGCTTTGGCATGATTCGCAGTGATGTTGATCATTCTATATTCTACAAACATTCCGCTGGCAACAAATCTATTTATCTTGTTGTGTATGTTGATGACATTGTCATTACAGGTAGCGATGATCAAGGAATTGTGCTCCTCAAGCAACATCTCTTTAGCAAATTTCAAACAAAAGACTTGGGAAAGTTGAGATACTTCCTTGGTATTGAGGTCGCACAGTCTCAAAATGGAATTGCTCTCTCACAAAGAAAGTATGCCTTGGATATTCTTGAGGAAACAGGGTTGCTAGATTGCAGGCCAGTGGATACACCAATGGATCCGAACGTTAAAATCTTATCAGAACAGGGAGATCTTTTGCCCAACAAGGAAAAATATAGAAGACTCATCGGCAAATTGAATTATCTTACCATCACGAGACCGGATATTTCATTTGCGGTAAGTGTCCTTAGTCAGTTTCTTGATAAGCCATGTACTGGACATTGGGATGCAGCTATCCGAGTTTTGAGATACATCAAGAAAACTCCAGGGCAAGGATTGTTGTTTGAAGATCGAGGCCACCACGATATTGTGGGATACTGTGATGCCGACTGGGCTGGATGTCCGATGGATAGACGTTCCACTTCGGGATATTGCATCTTGATTGGTGGAAACTTAATTTCATGGAAAAGTAAGAAGCAAGATGTGGTTACCAGATCTAGTGTTGAAGCAGAATATCGTGCAATGGCTCTTGCTACATGTGAAATCTTATGGTTGAAGCATCTCCTCCAAGAGTTAAAATATGGAAACTCAAAGCCGGTTCAACTCATGTGTGATAATCAAGCTGCAATGCACATTGCATCAAATCCGGTATATCATGAGAGGACGAAACATATTGAAGTTGATTGTCATTTTATTCGAGAGAAGATCACGAGTGGACATATCATCACGAAATATGTGAACACAACTGAACAACTTGCAGATATTTTAACTAAGTCTCTTAGAGGTCCTAGAGTGGGATATATTTGTAACAAGCTGGGTACATATGATTTATATGCTCCAGCTTGAGGGGGAGTGTGAAAACCCTAGTAGTATTGGGCTTAGCCCATTTGTATATCTTGTATAGGAAACCCTAGTACTCTAAATATAGCTTCTTGTATAGCACTTTATAATTAAGTATATGAAATACAACAATACTTGTTCACATCTACACAAGAAGCATGCTTTGCCGGCACAAGTTCACAAATACAACATTTTCTGCTTAAACCATTGATTTAATGTATAAGGGACAAAAGGTGTGTTGATGAAAAATGTGATCATAGTGCACCTGCAAGATCTCGCCCAAGGTCTGGGGTAGAAACCGTAGAACATCAGAAGAAAGGGTTAAGATTTTGAGCTATTAGAATCAATGATCAAATTTGGATTTGTTGAGAAATATGAATTAGGGTCAAGAATGTTTTTCATTTAGCAAAAATTTCATATTGAGTCATATGAAAAATCTAGAATTCTAGATGGCTAGTTGTAGTGTATATATATTGGAATTCACTCTGAGATGTAATTGAAGCAAAAATCTGTTTTCTGCTCTTCTTTGTCAACATGTTACCAGAACAACACTGGCCTTGAACTTCAAACATTCAACTGACTCATGAACAATAGGGAACATTGTTCACGAGAGTGCCACTTCTCACATTACTCTTCTTAGAAGAAGGTTTCGGGCAAGTTGAAGAGGGGAATCATCCCTAATCTTCCTGAAAACCAATCCCCAACTATTTCCGTCTCCACACCCCCATTATACAACTGCCCTGCCACCATGCGCCAGCACATGAGGTCTCTTCCAGCGAGATTTTCCGGCCATCTTCTCCAGATCCTTATTCAGCTTCTGTCGATTTCAACAGTAACTTTAGCTCTTCGTTTTATCAGATTGGCATTTGAACAGATTTTCGATAAATCCAGTTATGAAGCTTCTGCCAGTTAAACCAACACTGTATTTGTTGTTATGCCTGGACATATTACAACAACCAAAAAATGCCTGCACTATAATTTCTGACCCCTGTAAAATTAAGTGGATCGCAATATTATTAATCTTGATCTGATGCTATTGGATTGTGGTTCAGTAGTTTATGGGTCAAGGGTTGTTGACCACTTGAGTAATGGGGTAGAAAATGTTTCAGAAAATGATATGGCTATTTGGTGTAGGACAGTAGGGTTGAGGCTCAACTATTAATGGCTGTCCAGATCTCCTGGACTGGTACCTTTATTTAAAGCTTTAAGACATGAGCCAACTGCTAAGGTATGAAACCAAGCTGAGGCCTTGTATACTAATGATGTCTCTCTGTTTTACACTGGTTGCAATTGTCTGGAAAAAGATTCACAGTGTTTATCCATGTCAAAGGATCTCACTTGTCATCATACTGTAGGACCTAGGAACTTTAATTTTGACTAACGGGGTAGCAAGGAGTGGTCGTTTGATAGAGAACTCCAAAATTCCTTAAATTACTTAGACCAACGACAATGGAGGAAATAGTAAACCAGCGTACAAAGAGAATAGAAAGAGAAGAAACAAATTGAGACTCTTCGAGAGGCCCCACTCTCCCAGCCTAATTCCAACTGAAATTCTGCCTACTCCCATAAGGGCTGGCCGGCCCGTATTCCCTGACATGGCCCAAAACCCTTGTTTATACAATATCACACTACTTAGTATAATTCTATTATTATTAGCCTGGTTCCTATGATCGTTTGCTTTGTGTTGATGAATATATGAGAGTTTTTGCCAGCAAAAAATTGTGGTGTCTATGATTTTACAGTCACCAGTTGCTAACATGGTCGAGGGGCAGGTCATGGCTTGTTCATCTCGACAAAAGCATCCTGGATGTCGGCCAAGATGGAAACCTATTATTTGATTTATGAAACTTGGTCCATGATACTGACCTAGTTTTGTGTCATGCTATTGAGCCTTGATGAAGTTTTCTGTCGATATATCTATTGTGTTTTGATGTCAATCCCAGATCGATAACAATGTTCTTGCGACATCTCATTCAAGGTATGGGATAGCACACCAGGAAAGAGGTTGGGATTTTGAGTAGTTTGAATCTAATATTAATATTAAGAGATAATAGCCCTAAACAGGACTAAACTAATCCCTAAATGTTGCTAAGGTTGCAGCATAGGCCTACATATTTTTTAAATATTTTTTTCATTTTTTATTTTTTTTAATTTCAATTTTTTAAGTTTTTCATTTTTCGAATTTTTTTATTTTTTATTAAATTTATTTAATATTTATTTCGTGTTTTTTATTTTTTTTTACATTTTATTGTAAATAAAATTATGTTATTACTTTTATGTTCTAATTATTAATGAAATATGAATTGTATTGAAACAAAGAAAGGGTAGCATTGGAAAGTTAGTCCTATTTAGGGAATTTTTAAGTTATTGGCAATTAAAGTTCCATTTAGTCCCCCATTTGAGGAATTCTCCCTAATATTAAATTAATCAATGTTTGATCTTATCAAGACTTGTGAGAATTAATTCTTAAAAATTGCCTTATTAATTATTACGGAGGACTTTTATATGACTAATATAGCTATTACAAGAGCTCAAAGACTAATGGTAAACATAACACTATAAGCTAACTACTTTATATGCATCTAGAAAAGGAATAGGACAATAATGACATGAATATGACTGCTAGCTTCAATCAAGCTAGCTTGAATCAGCCTCTTTGGTCCAGTCACCTCACCTCGGGTCGGGTACCTATTCCCTTGGTCAGGCCGACCCCTCCTTGACTAGGCTGGCTAGCTTACCTGAGCCTGAGCTTGCAAGACGATGAAACATCATGAATGCATCTATTTCATAATATTGTTATGATATTTCAAAATATAATCACAATTTACCAAATTGTGATAGGACTCCCAAGATAAGTAGTAAGCTAAGTACTATTTCAAAAGAATCAAAACCAATATCCTAGCCAAGACACAGGCTCATTCCATGAGTTCTCTAAATATGTTCAAAATAAGTAAATAAGACAGACACTAAATAGGCAACTGTACCAAACCAAGTTCTTATACCCAAATCCAAAAAAACTGTGGAAATAAGATAAATTTTACCTGCTTAAAGCCTCCAAGCATCAAAAATATATTCCCACTTTCAACCAATGCAAAAACTCTTGATTCATCTAACTCAATAGCTCGCCCATACGACTATTCCATTCCAATAAAGATAATCACACAATGTTAGAAACGCTAAGCTTTGTCAACCACCCAATACAATGTTCAATGAATGTGGAGTTAAATCAATCATCAATCTTCAATTTGTTGATAATTAACATGCTTCCGCTATTCTTTTTTTATTATGTTCTTGAGCTGGCATGAGAAATAGATAAATGTTTTGTAGTTCTTAGAGTAAAGGTATTTTCCATCAAAGCCCTGAAAGAACAAAAGAGTAAGATCCTGATCATGGTTTAAAAAGGCGCTAGAGAGGCGGGTTATGAGGCGCGCGTCAAGGTGAGGCATACATAAAAGGTTTTGAGGCTTAGGTTTTTTTTTGCAGGACAAGAGGCTTACCCCTCAAAATTCATGGCGTACGCCCGACTAGATGCGTTTTTCCTTTTCTTCTATCTTTTTAATGTGCTTGTAGCTTAAAAAGGCAATGTTTTTATATAATAAAAGGCTCATACATGAAATACATGTCTACAATAAACCGAAACAAGTCTTGTTTCATTTAAACCCTAACATATGCTCCATATTAAGGATTCTGTGTGTCATTAAAACTTATTCATACTTCTACACAAAGAAGCAGATGGGTAACCAAGGAAAAATAAGAAAAATAAACAAGTAATGGAGGTAAATGATGATGAAAAAGAGAAAGAACTTAAGGACTATGATAGTGAATAGTGATGATAGAAGGGATGACGGTGAGAGGCGATAAGCTATAAATATATAATGATTCTTCCGAAGACCCTCCCGTCATGATGATTAAGCTTCGAGAGTTTCAACTTGTTTTGTGTTTGAATTCTCATTTTGAGTTATTGTGTTTAATTATGTGATCATATATGTGATTATGTGATCATATATGTGTCTGTGTTTGAGACTTTTTGGACTTTTATTATGCATATCTATAGTTGGTTATTACTAGTTTAATTGTTTTATGTTTTACTTGTTGGTAAATTTTGAGGCTTGTGCCATGCCTCTCTTGAACAACCCGCTTCGATAGCCGAACTAGCCTTTTAAACCTTGACCCCGATCCAAATAAAAATGTCCAGATCTTTGGTTTGAATTACAATTTAAGAAAAGTAAGTTTTTGTGTTCAAGGAAAGGTGGAAAACAAAAAGGAAAACAAACAAATACTGTGGCAGATAAACTTCAATAGCAAAACGTGCAGTTATGATGTCACCTTAGTCGCAGCAGTGAACATACCCATCTGCTGATAGGAAAGACCTAGTGCCTGAAAAGGGGGGTAAGGGAAGCAATGAATATTAATCAAGTCAACTGAGAAAACACCAGAAGAAAGAGAAAATGAGAACGGAAAGAGTAAATGACCTCCCACAAATCAGTACATGTGGGATACCCTCTGATAGCATGCTGAAGACTTGGTATTGCATCAGCCCATTTTTGTTGGTGGACCTGCAAGATGCAAGGCAGTAAGGGGACTGGGATTTTGTCAGGCAAAGAAGTAAAGAGACAAAGAATCAATATTTACCAGAAGATAACCAAGTCTGCGGAAAGCCCAAAAGGCACGAGTTGACTTTTCTGAGGCCTCTCGACAGACAGCTATCTCCAGGTTCTCTTTTCCACTTTCTTCCAGTAGTTCACACATCTCTTCCTGCATTCATTTTAAGACTTCATTCATGAATTTTGAATATTTTCCAGAACTAAATCATCATCATCATTACCCCAGTGCAGCAAAGCTCCCACCTACGGATTTTCCAGAACTAAATAATTAAATTAATGCATTGCATTGCAGAGGCAGGGTTTCAAAATCTACCCCAGCATCAGAATCATCGGGATTGAGAGAAATAGCTCGGTGGTAGCACTTCAAAGCCCTTTGAGGATCACACGAGAAGCAGGCGTAATAATGACCCAAATACCTAAAAGGTACCCCATTCTGAGGGTTGAGTTTAGCAGATATGAGAAATTGTTCGACAGCCTTCCTCCGGGTCTCTTCTTCAACACTATTGCTGTCAGCCTTCTCCCATAGATGCAGTCCCAGATCTAAATGGAGACCAGGATCGTCTGGCCGAGACTGTAAACTTTCTTCAAGCTCTAGCTCCTTCTGTTTCATAGTACGAACGCTTCTTCTCCGCTCTGTGTCACAAGTTGAGGAAAAGGTCAGTTGATTACATGAACTTGCACCTCAAACGCAGCTACATCTAAAAAAGTAGTACAACGTTACTCTTGCTGAGGTGGCTAACGGAAGAGCGATGTGTACAAAAAAACAGTCACCTTATGTCTACAGTAACATTAGGACATACTAAACCCTAAGAGCATCTTTAATGGGGATGTGGATTGCACCCCATAAAGAATGGACACGTCACATAAATAGACGGCCCATGAAGCTGATGTGGATCCATACGCTTTTAAAATAATTTTGTGGAAATTTCCCGGTTAATACATTTTTACCAACCGTATTTCATTTATGTCACGACATTGTTTTCTTTTCAACTTCTAACTTTCTCCTTTTCAGTTTTAACTTCTGAATTTCAAAAATAGACTAGGGCCTAAATTTTCAACTTAAAGTTCTAAATCGGAAACCTCACTCTAGATTGTAAATTTTCAATGGGAGAGATCCATCGTAGCGGCGGCGACACAGGCTGAATTCGTTAACGCTTCCATCTTAAGAAGACGCTGGCGATTGATGTGACTCACATCAAGTTCGGCGACCGACCTATCAAGATCGATAATGTTCCGATCGAGCCGATCCATATGGTAATACTCTTCCAAGCTTTCACAAATTGAAGATCTGTCACGTTACTAAGAGTTCGGATCGAGTGATTTTGTATTATCCGTTTTTAATTTTTAAAAAAGAAAAGTACGACAGAAGTTTGGGAATCAGGAGGCAGGAAGAAAAGTTTCAAGTTCTCACAATTAATGGTTGACATGTTTCAGGAGGCGGGAAGATGGTTTCTGATACGAAACGATCTGAGCGAAGGAAGACCAAAGGTCACACAGCTCGTTTAAGGTTCCGGAAATATCAGTATTGATCGCTCATGAGCTCTTTTGGTAAAAGAATTTATATCAGGTTCAATTTGTAGGTGATTATCTTCTTATGAACTAGTTTACTCTTTCCCTAAAGAACTACATAGAGACTACGTGTTAATTTCATAGACATTGATACTTCTGTGAGTGAGTTCACATATCTCATTATTGTTTTGCAGTGGAGCAGAAAAGGAAGCCCCTCATGCCGTTTTGTATATCTGGAATAATATATTTTCCAAAGGCTGGAACACAAGTATGTGTGCATTTCAAGTTGTGCCTGTTTCATCTCTGTGAATCCACCTCTTAGAGGTCAAGCAAATTAGAGTTCAATCTATTTTATCTATTTTATCTCAAATATGGAGAAGGTTTGTTGCTTCCAACCATATCTTCTTCTCCTTTTTATACCCACGTTTACATTAAGCAGACTAGCTAGAGAGCAATCTATTTTCACATCTTGCCATAGTTTAAGGAATTTCACCTAAAGCTTAACAAGTATTGTATAGACGTGTTCTATAGTTATTCCTTATTCATTACATAATGTTGAAGTAGCTCTAAATGGGAACTTTGACGCAGCTTTGGATATTTTTGGTGTTCTAGATATGGAAGAATTGAGGAATTGATATCAATGTTACGTTGTGAAGAGACACAGACACTATATGAATCCTTCCATAGATTGGTATTGAATTTAACAAAATTATTCAATCCCATTATTTTGTAAATATTCCTATATTTAGGGAGAGACAATGTCAGTAGCGGAGGGATAGAGACTAACTGTTGACCTTCGTTTGACAATTGTTATCTTCTTAAATTAACAAATCCAATATTGATATCTTCAATGGAATAGATGCATAACATTCTTTCTATGCGGTCTAATCATGTTAAGTGTGTTAAGCTGCTATGGTATTATCAAGACATTAAGAAAATATGAATGGGAAAAAGTACACATATTATTTCTGCTCTTATATGCTTTATTTATATGCTAAGCTAGGTTTCTCAATTCATTTCCTAGCCAAAAACATGGATTGCTTGAGAAGTTTTCTTCAATTATGCCGAAGGTTCCTTGATTCATTGATTTTGACAACAAAATGAAGAGTAACAAGGAAAGTGAAGACATGATGTTCAACCTTGAAGAATTGTGTGTTCAGATGCATAGAAAGCTGTGATATGAAGGAAGTCAAATTATATGATAGATATACGTAAAACATTGAAATACTAGATTGAATTACACAATTGTTGTGATACTTTTATAAATATTTTTTGTTTCTTTTTGTTGCATTGAATGTGTTTTCTTTTTGTTGCATCGTGTTGTTTTTTGTTGCATGGTGTTGCATTTTGTTGCATCGTGTTGTTTTTTGTTGCATCGTGTTGTTTTTTGTTGCATCGTGTTGTTTTTTGTTGCATGTTGTTGCATTTTGTTGCATCGTGTTGTTTTTTGTTGCATGGTGTTGCATTTTGTTGCATCGTGTTGTTTTTTGTTGCATTTTAATTTGTTACTTATTTTTATTTTATTTCTGATCTTTATTTTTGTTGTTTATTTAGGTTTTTATTTATCTTTGCAACTTGTTTGAAGTAAAAAAGATCATGTATAAATTTATTATTCACCAAAAACAATAAATTTGAATTTATGAATATAAATCAACCACAGAAAACATAAAGCAACAATAAAAAACAAAATGTTCAAAGTTATCAACAAAAGGAAAAAAAAACAATTGGCAACAAAATTATATAATAAGTATTATTAAAATTTGGAGCTATTTAAAAAAAATAAATTACAAGATTCAGATTTTTTTTCAATTGTTTCAAATTTGAATTTCATTTTTTACACATTTTATTTTTGAATTTTATTAAATTTTTATTTTTTATTTTTGATTTTTTTCTTTTTTATTTTATATGTAGTATGTCGTAGCATCTAATTTTATTTTTTTTACTTTTTTAAAATTTATATATCTATATTGAATTTTGAATTTTTTTTACTTTGTATGTATTTTGATTTCCAAAATAGTACAAAGTAATTGTTTCATACTGTAAAAGTTTTTAATCGCCTATCATTATTTTATATATTTTAAAATCATTTTGTATAATGTTTTTTTAATATTCTAAATATTTTATAGTTTAATTTATTTTTTCTTTTTTTGAGAAAGTTTTATTTTTACTAATATATTTCATTTTTGTTTATTATTAATTTTATAAAAAATATATTATATTTTTGATTGTTTTATACGAACTTTTTATACAAATTAAGTGATATACGTGAAATTTTTGCATTTTTATTTATATATTTTCATTTTTTATTAATTTTATAAAAAGTTTCAACTATTGTATCTTTGATTATTTTAACGTACTTTTTATACAAATTAAGGGAATATGAGGTCTTCTAAAAAATAAAATTATAAAAAGTTGTGTTTTTAATACAATTTTAAATTTTTAATCTATTTTAAACCCTTCTCATTTTACTGCTTTAAAATCTAAATTCCTTTTTTATATTTAATTTACAAGCTTTCAATCTCGATTTTTGTTATGCATTACGGAGTATTTGATTTCTTAGTTTGATTGTTTATTATTTATAATTTTACCTTATAATTTTAAAAAGAATCTTATTTTTAATACTTTTATTATTTTCTAATTATCTTCAGCTTTTTAACATTTTATTAAATATTTACATTTTTTTTGCAGCAATAAATATTTACATTTCTACTATTTGAAAACACGAATTGAGTTATTCTTGGAGTTTGTACAAAACTTAATAAAGTTTGTGTATAGAGGTCGCCTACTGCTCAGTGGCCATGTACGCTTCTTTGAAGTATGGATTCCGGTAGGTTGCATCTACGTACATTGTCTATTTTTGAAAGGAAAGACTTGATTAGTCTGTTTTTGAAAATAACTTTGAAACGGGAAAAAGGTGATATTTTTTTCATTTTTGGTCTCCTTGTGTAAAATTCCCAATAATTTTTAGGCTTCAATGGCACCGTGGGTTTAAACAATTTACTTGATATTCTTACGCCACATCATGTAACTAAAGAAACAGCCGCGCCGTATATATTTGCTGCGATATACTCTTCTAGCTTTCTTTCTTGAAGAAATCTGAAAAAGGAGTCTCATCACTTTATTTCTATCTCAAATCAGCCGTAAGTGATCAGTATTATTGAAAACCTTTCTAATTCGCAGTATCCCTGAAGTCATAGACCTTTATAGTTCAATCCACTATGCGGCCAAGTGGAAAATTGTTTTAAACGTACAAGGTATATTTTTTCAGACCTTGTTTCATCAACCAAGCTATGAAAAATATAAACCTTGTTTCAATCCACTTCAACTTGCAGCCGTAAGTCACTTTAGGAAAACATTGAAAAATATAATTTGGAAAGGGTTGAAAACTTAGAGTGAAAATATAATTTAGAGAAGATAATGAAAACTTGTATCATTTTGCATAATATGATCATTGAGAGTGAATGCAGTCAAGGAATGAATCCTGAAAATTGGCAACCTCTTGGGGATGAAAGGGTTGAAAATGTAGAATTGGAGCATGATTATAATTTTATTGTCTCCAGAATGATTGGAAGAATGAAACAAGTTCAAGACAAAAGAGTGCATAGAGATTTGAAAAGTGATCTCATCAATCATATATGGGAGCTATATGGTGGTCAACAAGCAAGCTAATATTAAAGTAGATATTTTAATAAGAAAATCTTATAATAGCCATTGAAGTTTATTTTTGTATCAATGAATGATGCTCTACTCTTAATTATTATTATTATTATTATTATTATTATTATTATTATTATTATTATTATTATTATTATTATTATTATTATTATTATTATTATTATTATTATTATTATTATTATTATTATTATTATTATTATTATTATTATTATTATTATTATTATTATTATTATTATTATTATTATTATTATCATTATTATCAGAATTGACTTTTTTTTTTGAATTATTTCGTTTTTTGTATGGATCAATATCAATATAAGTTAGTTGTGTGTCTAATGTGTTTTGAATTAGTTACTTTGAATTGTCCCTGTCTAGCAGGGAATTAGCTAGCAGACAATACATCCACACGCCAACATGATACTGTTTGCCATAACCTAGTAACCAAAACGGAAACATAAGTCCAGAAAAAAGAAGTGACAATTCTTATTCTTTATCCTTTGCAAAGGATCTGGTGTATATTACAAAACAGAACTAAACCTTGAA